CAGTTACTTAACACAATTTTAAGAAGAAAGAAGCCTAGAATAGAAGTCAAATAGGTTTAAATGAGTAAGATGTACACAAGTTGGCAGGGCCTGATGATATTCACTACAGAATGCTTGGACTACTTCTCTGCACTATAAAAAGTTATCTTTGAGAAGTCATGTAAGACTGGGAAAGAGCTCAGGGAACTGGAGAATGGCAAATACAATAACTATCTATAAAAATGGGGACCTGGAGAATTAATGACCAGTTAGGCTAACTGCAAAACCTGAAAAAATACAGAAACAAATTATTAAACAATCAATTTATGAGCACCTAGAGAAATAAAGCATTAAAAAGCAACCAATATAGATTTATCAAAAATAAATTGTGTCAAACCAAACCAATCTAATATTTTTCAATGGAGTAACTGGCTAAATGGAAAAGGGTGAAAGTAATAGATGTAATATAATTTCCTGAAATTAAGACTCTTGACAGACTCATATGCAATCAAAGAAAAATATGCTGTAGATAAAATTAAGGGAAATGCACAAATGATGAAATTGCACTCAGGGTAATTTTGAATGCCTTCCAGCAAAGATGTGAGGGCATTTCAAAGTCCCGTGTGCAGGTTTTTACCCTGAGTCCAGCTACAGTCAATATTTTTGCTAATGACTTGCAGGATGGAATAGAGAATATGCCTATGAAAGCTGCAGATGACAGACACCATGCTGGGAAAGGCTGCAAGAAGTTTGTAGGACAGGAATAAAATTATGATGTACACGGTAAGTTGGAGAAATGTTTTGAAAACAAGAGGCAAAAACTTGCTACATTTAAAGAGAAATCAAATACCCCAACACTAGGAAATAGATTGCTGTACTGTTCTTGCAGAAATAATTGGAGGTTACACTGGACAGGACCATACACTGAGTACAGGTCAGCATTGTGCTGCTGCCACAAAAAGATAACCATTTTTCTGGGATACATTATCACAGTGAGACAGAAACTAATTGTTCCACTGTACCAGCGATGCTTCAACTGGAATACTGTGCCTAGCTTCCCGCACCATACTTTAACAAAGATGAGGACAAACTTGAGACAAGCCAAAGGAAAGCAACAATGTAAGGTTTGGAAACCATGACCTATGAGAACAGATTGAAAGCCCAAGAGACATTATAACCAGGCTTTGATATGTAAAGGATGTGGTAAAGGTAACTGTGATTAGTTTCCTGTCTGCTGGCAGCAAGGAAGATTAAAGATTAAGTATTAAGGAAAGCTTTCTAACCTAAAAGTATAGTTTAGCATTGGAAGAAGTCACCCCAGGAGACTGTGGACTCCCTGTCCTTCAACATTTTTAAAAACACAAACATGTCAGGAATAGTCTACATCATGGGTTCTCAAACTTTTTGGTATCATGACAAGGGGGCTGCAAACTTCTCTTGCCTCCCTAGAAGTGGTGGTGTGGGGCTGCCACCACGCCCTACGCGCCACTTCCTCACACCCAAGTCTGGGCATCCTGCTGCTAGGGACCCCATGCCCCCAAGTCCAGCTGGTCAACAAGCAGGGTGTGAGGAAGTGGTGCACGGCAGTGGCGGCCCTTCTTCCCACTTCTAGGAAGGGAAGAGAATTTGTGACCCCCTTTTGAGTTGCTCACGACTTCCCAGGGGGTCGTGATCCACAGTTAGACCTACCTGCTGTGAAGTAGGATCAGTTTTCAGCTTCATAGTTCTATGCAAGATAGCCAGTAGCTGACATACCATATTTTTTTTTCATACGACACATTTCAGAATAAAAAAGCCACATCATTTTCAGGAAGGCAGACTGAAGCAGAAGACGACTTTCAGAGTTATGGCTGTATAGAGCAGGGACAGAACTGAAAAGTGCAAGGCTGTAAATAGGAGAGAGACCAGGAGTAGCTAGCAGATAGTAAAGTTGCCAGTAGGACAGTTAGCTTGACTAGTGGAACATCAAGACCTTTGAAAAGGAAAGTCAACTGTTAACACCTACGGAGTAAAGAACAATCAGCCATTAAATCAATTGACTCTCAGCTGCCTGAAAAGAAATTCCACTGATACTGTTAGGCAGTTGGTTTTGGAGCAGGAATAAAAGGGGGATCTTCTATTCCAGGCTGAAGAGTCAGCCTTTCCACTTAAAACACACCCCAATTTTGGGGAGCTTATTTTCTGGGGGAAAGGTGTGTATTGTATGCGAGAAAATGCAATAATTAAAAATCTGAATGTAAACTAACAGCCAAGAATGAGGGGAGCATGTTGGTTTTGCCCACAAAAGTCAAAGACTACTGTTTTGGTGCTGAAATTGAGAAAAGGTTATTTCTAGAGGGCAAAAGTGTCTAAATACTTTCTGAAAATCAGACCCCAACTAATGTTAGTGACCATAAAAATTGATACCAATAAATCATCCATTAAATTTAAAAAAACTTAGCAGTTTCAACTCTTATAATTTCAGCCTAACTTCATTTACATTAACATATAAAGTGCATAATACTTATTGGCAGAGCCACAGATCTTTGGTGGAGTTCCTAAAATGATGGTAGTCAAAACCTTACTAAATACAAACAGAAAGACTCATAACATTTTAAAACCATTGCTGCTGCTAGAAATTTCTATAGGCATGGACAGGACCTTTGATATTCTTCCCCATTATTTGGGCTTTAATTGCATCTCTGGTGGTACCATGAAATACATAATAGCATGTACTAAATATCCAAATTCCACAGACATGTTTGATACAAGTGAATGAAAAGTCTTTAAAGTCCAGAAGAGGTATACCATAAAGCCCTGAATATTGTAGAATACAGCTCTTCCACAGAAAACTCAGAAGCAGGCTAGTGTGAGGATGTACACAAATTGGCCACTCACTTTAGTTCACTTTGGTTCATTCTTTAACTGGAGTCAGCATTACTGGGCAGACCTTTCATGTGCTACAACTTTTGACAAAGGTAGACACTATCTAAACTTTCACTTTCATTAAAAAAACAAGTAGGCTAAACTAGTCTTAAACCTTGACTCACATTTGAATGATACATAAGCTGTACTTTTTATCTGTTCATTTTCAGAAAGGATGACAGGTGCATTTGAATATCAAATTTATGGAGTCTTGGCAATCTGTTCATTGCTATACAACTTTTATACCAAGAATATCTCAATTCACAACAAAATAATTAACAGGTAGGGGGAAGTCTTTAAAGGGATTTCCAGAGCATTATATCCCTCCTCCGTCCTGCAGTATTGCTTAAGGCTACATATTGAACAATTTGGATTCTGTTTCACGGATCTGATCTTCATGCAGGTAGATATTTATAGTGTAATGGGGGGAAGAAAGGGACTATTATTTCCTAGGATTGGCCAAATATACATTTTAATACTATTTTGTGAAATCAGGTTCACTACCTGAATGACTTGGGATTTCCACTAGGAATATTCAGTCACCTCTGAATTAAGTCATGAGTAGTAAATACTCATATTTTCAGAAGCACTTAAGTCCCACGGAAAGACTAGATAGCCGAGTACCTTTGAGGATCCGAGCCTTTGTTCTATTTGCAAAACTTTGCCTTCTGCCAGATTTCTGTAGGGTAATGTAGATGCACATAACAGACCAACTGATTCAGAGATGCACAAGCTAACTACTTCTTTCTACAAATGCTTGTTACAGCCAATATTCTCAGCAACCCCTGACAAGTTCAGCTAGAGCTCATAGGATAATGTATAAACATTGCCCTGCCATATGTAATTTTTGTAGTCAATAGCATTAAGCTTCAAGACTGTCCAGGCATCACACAAATTTGTGTATGAAAAGTACAGTGACACTTGCTTTTAACAGGCAGGAAATCACATTTTGCACTTCAGGTTTTAAATCATCTTTAATCAGACACGTTACAAAGCACGACAGTGTCTTTTTAGCCAGAATTAACAGGGTGTCATCCATATGATCAGGAGAGCAGAGGATCTCACCTACTTCTTACCTGCATCCTTTTAAATCAATACAAGCATGTGCAGGTAATACCAATGAGGACAATTCCCCCATTTAGTCCTGCACTTTTGAGTTTCCAAAACAATTTCATGATGTTTTTACTGATTAGATTATTACGTCAGATTGTAACAGCTGCAAGTAGGAATTTTAATAGAATAGAAGATCACCCATGCCTTCTATTCTAACAGAAAGAGTTGATACTAATACTTTCATATTAAAGTCATACAGTTATGAAAATACAGCAAAAGATTCTTATGCAAGCAAGTTATGTCCTACCAGCATAATGCAGCTTTTCAGCTTATTTGCTTGTTAACTGAGAATGTTATGAAACAAAGTCATTTTTATTTGGTGCTACACAATCTCAATTCAAGCAACAGAACATGTGCTTTGTTTTGAGACTGAGTTTTAAGGATGCATCCCAAAATAAGTCAGGTTAACAGCAGATTACCAAGTATCAATCAGTGCAAGAAACATCTTGCTTGGTGTATACTCATTCCTTAGACAAACTACACCATCAGAACACTTAAGTACCCCACAGGACAAAGTTGAAAGATTTCTTGCCTCCTGGGAGCGAGTCTGTCAAGATACAATTATTGGATTGATTTAGAACAATTAAAAGGAAATAAATGAAGGGCTACATTCCGATGTCAGGTGTATAAGTGCAGTAGTGGATTATTCTCAATAGCAAGATCTATAAAAAGGTAGAGTGGTATACAGGTTATTCCAGAGCAACTATAATGCAGTTGAATTTCAGGCCAAAGTGAACATTTACAGAAATACACCTTGCTGTAAGATGGCTAGAAGGCTAACCTCCAAAAAGTAGCTAAATTAAAGGGTAAATAGGTGGACAGAGACAAAGGCTTTGACTGATATATTAGAAGTACCACTTGTTTCATGCATTCCTTTAAGTGAATCAGTCTTCAAGAATATGGTTCTGTATTTTAGGATGCCATTGGGAAGTCAGGCAGAGTCCAATCATGTAGCAGGAGTTATTTGATCTGCCAGAAATTAAAGACCTATTACAAGCAAGAACAAATAACAAATCTGAGAAATTCATACTATGAATGCATGTCCCTCATTCATAGTATGAGTGTCACTCACTGCAATCAATTTAAAAAAATTGACTGTTAGGTAATCCTAGACCATATATATGCTTTTAGGATGTCCTACCGTACTGCAGACCCTCAGACAGCACTCCAAAATATACTAGCATTGCTTTTTCACATCTGAGATTAGAATCTAGCCCAAATTATTAAAGCTAAATGAATATCCTCTTTCCCCAAGTGCTCTTCGCTGGGTGTGTTCAATTTTACACAACTTTTCCTTGATAACTTATGTAAGTCAGAACTGACTAAAACTTAACTAGCTATGTAATTTCTAGTTAGCTTGTTAGAAAGGAAAGAAACAGTACTAACTTTAAAGTTAGTTGAAAAATACCACTATTTAGTTTGTATTCTCTTGCAAAATCGTTACAGAAACAGTCAGAGACATTTGAGGGGAAACCTGTGACTGACTAGTTATTTGCATTCACCAACTTTTTAGATTAAATTTCACAACCAAAAGCAGAATTACTTCAACCTGATATAGCATTTGCTAATTGTATTCAAACCAGCATGCCGAGAGATTGTTAGATGTTCTTAACTCTCAAGCTCTGCCAGCTGTCTACCAAATATTAAGGTTTACTTGTCTAGCAAGAGTCTCTCCAGTGCATGACTCCAAGGAACAAGTTCCCTTACAATAAAGGAATCCTGTTCCAAATGGCTTGTAGTACTGACACTCCCCAATACATGGAACAAGAAGTAGAAGTTTCATGATTCTAATGCCGCTTGAGCTGTCATCAAAAGATTTAAATTTCTTGACTCAAGCTGGTAGCACACAAAGGTAAATATACAAGCATTTTCCCTCTGTTCTTAGATCAAACTTTTTATGATGTGCATCACTTTCAGTAGAATGAGACCACTGCAGTTTCTGGTGGGATGGGGAGAATTCCACTTTGTCTTCATTAGGATTTCATAAGGCAGATAATGTGGAAAGTTTAACAGAATTTCTACAAGCATTTAACCTGCGATATTGTAAAAATCAAAGTACTACTTTATTAAATGAGTTATTTTACACAATATGAACATCAATATAATTACAATTGTAAAAAATTTTTATCACAAGTATGGACTGATTTTCAGGATTTCCAAATAGGGCAGAACTGTACATTTACACAGAATTGTCTTTGCATGAAGCCCAAGAGGGAACAGCATAAAAATATGAATGTTTCTGTAGCCCCTTCATATTTGTTGATCAACAGTTTGTTAGAAAAGCAGCTGCAGGTTTGTTATGTAAGGTCTGACAGTAGAAGAGTCAATAGGTGCCATGAATTCACCTATAAAAAACAAGAACAACTCAGTTAAGCTGAACTGTTACGTAACATGGTCTATCTTTTGCTTAGTTCCCATGAATGAAAACTATGGTACTGCAGTCCTGTAACAAACCATTTGAGGCTTTCTTGCTATTATGCAACATTGCCTTAACTACCCCCCACAGTCTTTTAAGAATTTTTTCCCCCTCTACACATGTAGAAAAGTTTGCATTTATTCACATTTAGGGCACATCCTTTATGCTATGCAATATAAGAAGCCTTACATGCCCATCCACTAAACAACCCCCAGTTCCATTAAGTCTTGTATGGCAAGAGGTAAAATAAGAATGCTCTGGACAAAATGTACATCATTTGTTTCAAGGCAAATACTTCATTCATTAGTTGTACCATGACATTCAAGGTTGTTTTTTCATTTAAGATGGTGTCAATAACTCGATCAAGAGCCAGGTCCCTTCTGCTGCACTAGTAAAGATTAAAGTGCTTCTGATACTTAGTAGTCTAAGGATGTGCCACTAGTTAAACTTTTACTGTAGGAG